TTGTGGATGTCGTTACTATTCTTTTGTGTGATTTGAAATTTTATTGACTTTTATTGACACGTTTAAACGTAACTTCTGTTGGCTTCATAAATAATATGCAGCATTTAAACACATGTAAGTCTAATTTGTGACTAACTGTGTAGCATAAGCAGTGCAGTATCACATTACAAGAGTCTGCTATACAGTGACGCAGTCTGCTGGTGGTGCTGGAGACAAGGCCGTCTTCGGAGCCAAACTGCTATTGTGCTAAGTGCCTTTTTTATGCAAGATAAATCAGTCTTAAACGTGTGAACTTCCTGCGATGCTGCAGCGAAGCAGCCTCCTCAGCCTGTCAAAAGCCTTTGCTTCATCCACAATCCCCCCGCCGTATCGCCGGGGACCTAATTCTGCCTGCAGGATGTGTGTGTGCTTAGGTTCGCCTGTCTTTGTGAGGACATTTTTCTCAGGTCCTCATTCCTTTATCAGGCTCTTTCAAGGTTAAGATGTGGTTTGAGGGATCAGTTCGGGGTCTAGGTTAAAGGTTCGTCTCTTTGGAAATGACTGTGCATCTTTGTGCTCTGATATGTGAGAATCATCCATCTTCATTTACTTTAAACACGTGTCCTATATGCTCTACACATGTAAATCTTCAGTGCGGCGGTATTTGATTGGCTGCCTCCTCAGTGCTGAGACTGTGCCAGTGACACAAACAAAACTGATCTGTTCTGATGAGGCCTGCAGCAAAGGCAAACATTTTCACTGAAACTGCAAATATTGTCCAATCATCACATTTATAACTAGAAAGTGCATTTTCTGAAGAAACTGCAGTGTGAATGCTTGAATCTGAATGTATGCATTGAAATGAAATAATTACTGAATTTAAGTTAAAAATATTGAATGAGATAAAAAAAAAACCCCGAATTTAACCTGAAAACAAAAGTGCTGAACTGCTAAAAGCTGAAGGTTACACAGAAGAAGAAGTTGGAAAAAAGCTGAAAATGTTTTAATTGTAAATTAGAAAAACCTAAGAAATGAGAAAAGAACATTTAGAGTCAGAAAACATCTGAAAGAATATTAAAAGGTCATATTCTTTGAATCACTGAATGACTAAAATGTGATCCCTCCACTTGGACCCACACAGTTTAAAAAGTTTACATCTCTGAGCTTTGAAAGACAAGATGTTGGAAAAAGAACAACGATGGCGACGTTTTGAGGGTAAAATGATGGCTTTAACACTGTGGACACAGCAGCAGTTGAAAGAGAAGTGTTTAAGATGAATCTTGGCAGAGTGGCAGGCAGAGCTCGTTAAGCAGGCAGGTGTGAGCCTGGTTGCTATAGTGACCGCACCCAATGGCTCCATACACACGGACACAGACATGCACCTCACTTTTGCTGCTTAAAATGAACAGAAAAGTCAGGCCGAAACAAATCGTTCCCAAATGAAAAGTAAAAGTCGTATTGACAAAATTCTTTCACTGTGAGCGACAGCAATGTCTAGTCTACCAAATTCTCAGTTTTCATGCCTGTGGAGTTTATTATATGGACGTGGTGACAGTGTAAAGACACCATGCTCTTCTGATTTTCAAACGAACCTTCTGAGCCATTTTAACATTAGAGTCTATGGAAGAGTTGGAGGGAGGAGGCTGTGCATTGGTGACATTTATGAAAGAACCATAACACCTAGTACAATAGTAAACACATTGGATGAAAGAGGACAGCCATGGCTACGTTTTGAGGGTAAAATCATACCTGTAGAGCAAACGCTGCGGACACAGCAGCAGTTTTAAAAAAGATTTTAAGATTAATTTTTTTGCTCCTCTCACTCTAGCAGTTGAGCTGTCTCACTCTAGCCCCAACATTCCGTCCCATACACACCCATTATAAACTCTGAAACGGGTGAAAAAACATCATGAAACTTAAACTGGAACTGAAGAAAAAGTATAATAGATATTGAAAAGATAAATACAAGTTGAATAGTTGAATGTCTTGTCTTCGTTTTAAAGTTTGAATGGTGGCTCTATGTCAACGTATGTGGAAGTAGTAAGAGTTTAAAAATGAGTAAGTTGAATGAGGATTTGAAGGGTCTCCCCATTGAAATACATTATAAATTTTTGTTGAATAAAGTTGAATAAAATTAAAAATATAAATGTTAAAAATATGAAAAATGGAAGCAGTGTTGTCCAAAAGAATAGGAATCTAACGGTGTTGGAATGGTTTTTCTAAGTTGAACGGTTTTGAAGGAGTAGGATTACAAAAAACGTACGGAATACAGAATAAAATATAATAATAATAATAATAATAATAATAATAAAGATTACAACAACAATACTGTGAATGCTTTTCAAGCATTCACACTAATTAAGATTTATGACTGCAGCGAGAAAAGTGTACATTTTGGAATTTAACTTTCGGCCTCCCTAAACCGCACGTCGTAGTGTGCGGTCATTAATGAAAAGTCATCGATATGATTGTGTCTCAATTAAAGCAGGATGTGTTGCGGGGCTCAGCTGGTTTCCTGGTGTCAGATGTGAATAATGGTGATTACTGCAGAGCAGAGTGGGCTGACAGAGAGAGAGTGAGGGCAACGTGTTCAGCATGTCAAACACTTTGAATCCTACATCAAAGATACAGTCTACTCCTGACAAATGCAGCTTCGAGATAGGACGACCTTTTATAGTCCTCTAAAGACACATACCCTTTTTTTCAACATATTTATAGAAATCATCATTCTTGTTGTTGGGTGATTTAAACATTACCTGCTTAATGAGTCCAAAGCACATGTGGGTCATTTTTCACATGTGTCAGTAATAATTACAGCCAGAAGGACCTTCTTTTCCCTCTATTGACTGCTGCTCTCATAATTTAAACACCAGCTCAGTGTAAAATGTGAAAAACCGAGGAAATGGAAATCTTGCTGCTGTTCTGACAGATGGAAACATGCCAGCACCAACATATAGGTCATTAATTAACCCACCAAAGATGAGCCTCAGCAGAGTCAGACTTCATTAAAGCACATCTAATATGCCACTGGAGTGCCACTAACTCTGGTTGCTGTTGTACACAAAAACACAAAATGTAAATAAAAGATGGAAGTAGCCCATTTGGAAGTTTCCTTACATTTGGCATTTTGTCCATTGCCATCTTTATATGTTGAAACTGGACGTAAGCAAGGAGTTGATCAGGCTGAGAGTCGACTAGTCAGTGATGAAGCAATGGCATAAAGTGCATCCTGCTTTAGAATCTATTTTACTCTAAATGGATCTTGAATTTACTAAATGAATGCCATGGTGTGTTCAGGAAGACTTTAAAATATCAATTGAAACTCTAAACTCTTTACAAATTTGTTTTCTAATGTCATTAATCATTGAACAATGAAGTCATACAAATATATAATTTCAAAACTACTTCCTACTTGACTTTTCAGATCTGAAGGTTAGGTCTATCTGAATTATCTCTGGTTTACCTTAACACTGACAAGAAAAAAAGCAAACTTGTTTTAAAGTCTTTCCCTTTATAAATTTAAATGTAGTTTATTTGCTTTCTGTTTCTTTTTCTGTTAGTCCAGATAAAATGACATCCCCAATAATGAGTTAAATTACCAAGAGCCAAAATGTTGCTCCGCACTTCCCCTGTGACACTAATTGGACCAGTGGAGGCTAGTTAGCATTGCTTGCTAACCTTCCCTTCCTTAGTGGCAGTGCATACTGGGGTCTCCAGCCATCAGTGACCCATAGCATAGTAAATTAGTAAAGAAAATAGCTGGCTGGTCCTTCGAGATCAAAATGTAATTTTCTTGAGTGTTCTATTTAAATGGCAGAATAATTAGATTACATGAATCAATAGAGTGCCATAAGCAGAGGCAAAATGCATTGATACACATTAAAAACACAGCTTATAGCTGTACCACCCTGAGCACACCCATCCCGTCTGATCTCAGAAGCAAAGGAGGGTCAGTCCCGCTTAGTATTTGGATGGGAGACCGCCTGGGAACACCAGGTACTGTAAGCTTGGGGTGGCTGTAGAGCAGGTCATCTGCTAATTGGAGAGTTTATGGTTTGATCCTTGGCTGCTCCAGTCTTTGACAAAATACTAACTCCAACTTGGTCTTTGATGCTTCTGTCATAGAGTGAATGTTATATTGAAAGCACTTAAGCATAGAAAAATGCTGACGTGAGTGACGCAAGTTGTATAAAGTGTATTGAGTGCTCCAGCAGAGTAGAAAAGCACTATGTAAGAATCCATTTACCGTTCAAAACCCAAACATTTCAACCAAGAGCTAAAACTTTAAGTTCTATACATATACGTTATGCAGTAAATGCAGCAAAGGGGGAAAATGTAACACATCGTCTTTGGATCATGTCTGCACAAAACCTCATTGCATCCTGGCTTATAGTTGTTGATATAGCTCAATGTGGACCAAAGTGGTGGGTTGACTGAAATTTATACTGAATAAGAAAAGCATAATTATAGAAACGGTCACAGTGGGTGTCAAGACACAGGAACAATGGTGCTGTTGTTGCTTTGCATGATTCCTGCTTGTAATTGGTATGGATGCAGCTGAAAAACCGGCCTGTCACACAGAAATGTGGGATTTGTTCAGCGTCACCGAGCGCTGTCAGTTTGTTCCTCTGATGTTCTCCGTGTGGCGTCGACAGCTCGGCTCAGCGCAGGGGTGGGAAACTGTTAATGAGCGAGATGCCGGCCCACTAACAACACACATAAAGTGTGTGTCTGTGTGCGTATTAAACAGCGAGAGAGGAGTTCATATCGCAGTTCTGTGTGTTTTCTAAGATTAGAAACTGCTGCTTAAGTGTCAGTATATGTGTGTGTACATGTGTGTGCTTTAAGCTTCTTTTCTTGGTAGAAAGTCAGCTGGGATTGGAGCATTTCTTCCTAATTGCCTAAAGATTTCTCTGCTCTTGCATCAACTTCTGGCTTAGTGATTCATTTCCAGTCTCAAGGATTTTTTTTGGACTTTGCCATGTTTCAAAGTCCTTAACTTCCTTTTTTTTGTATTCCAGAGGTGGACTGTGACTGTGGCTTGGAGTGGATGGGCCCCTGTGTTCTCCCAGCCAATAATCCATCCCTCCATCTTACCGTCAGCCGGAGGAAAGATCTGATGACAGGACTGCAGAGAGTGGAGAGAAAAGACCCCCTGCTATGGCCAGTGGTACATATTGAATTTACTGTACTTTCTGAAGATAGGCCAACTTTGTTAGGCCATGTGTGTGTGTGTGTGTTTTTTCCTTTTTTTGCAAGAAAGGAGAGAAAAAACTTTGCCAGGATTCTGTTGGGAAAGTTTCCCAGAGATAGCATAAATCCACGTGGAAGACAGTCCTCCTTTTTGAAGCCTTTTCTCCACATTTGTATGCCTGATCTGTCAGTTACAGGGGATTGAAAGTATCAAAATAACTTCCTCTGACCATTTCTGAGTTCATCTTCTGTGACAGCAATACTCGGCTGTTTGACATATTTTGTCCCCGGTTGTGCTCTGCAGTCTCCTTTTGTTATCGTGAATGGATCTATTTTCTACAGCAGAATTTATCACAGGAGCCTTCAGGAACTCCTGCAGCTAAAACTTTGCTAAGTTAACACTCAAAGTGTGCCGGCTGATTCTGAAAGACTCGTTATAAAACACTTGTGAGCTTGGCTTAATACTTCGCTTTCTGTACAAGACAGTCACACTGGTAGCTTATTGAAAAGCAATATCGAATTTTGTAATACGAGCCATCCCCACACTTTTTAAAACCCTTTCCCAGAAAATATTACCTTCTCATTTAATGCAGTTTCATCCTGTATTGCATTCAATGTGTTTTGCTTGTCTCTGCTACAACAGCTGATGGTGTAGGCAACCTGGGTGCTGAGCAGAACCACATTAGTGTTCCTGTCGCTGATCATGGAGCCTGGGCCACGGCCATGAACAACCTGGGCATCATGCCCATGGGCATCAGCGGGCAGCAGCTGGTTTCAGGTACCTTCTACTCTCAACTTTACAAAATTTATTTCACTGGAAACCATCGATGGTTAATTATATTGAATATTTTTGTTGTATGCAAACTTTTTATTTGACTTAAGGATCAATGAAAGGATTACACCCTAGCAATTATCATCATCTTTATTACCCTTTATCCAGCCCATCATCATCATATATATATATATCCCAAGCTGATCCCAAGGATGGATATGAAGGTTGATTTAGGAATATTTTAAAGGGCTGGTTCTGTTTATTCAGAATCATATCCTTACCCTACAAACTTCCACTCTACATTGTCCAACTTGTGTTACTGAGGTTTCACCAATGAATTTTTTTGTCACACTGGTGATTGATTCTGTTCTGACACCCAGGTTCACAACATTTTCTGAACTGTTTAGATTACCAATAATTAAAAGTTCTTGGCTCATTTGTCTCATTCATTCAAAACAATTACTTCAAGTACAATCATGGAAATAAGGAAGCATGTTCTCATTTTAGCAGAATTTTAGCAGTGCAGCTCAGTGTTTTAACCCTATCACCTCTTATGTGAGAAAAAAACAACAGGTGGCCTGTTAACTAGCAGCACGTTCATGTTACGAAAACCTCGAGGATGGAGTTAAGTGGATTTTTTAAAAAGAGAGTAATTATATAAACACCTGTGAAATATCAGAAGTCGTCGTATTCGCTCTGTAAATATCATGGATATGTGACAGATGTTAAGTAAGGTGAATAAACTTATATGCTGCTCGATCATTTCTGGATCCAGGCCCTGTTTGTCCAATGAATGCATTGGTTTGTATTTGATTGTCTCAGTTTCAGAAGCTCTCAGCAACCATAAATCTGTGGATATGTATATTACAGGTCTTCATGTAGAAGGTACAAGGGCTGTATTGCTTCAGTTATTACCACTTAATGTTACCTAAAGAGACTCTCAAATTCTCCAGATGGAAATAAAATCACTCACCACACGAGGTAATGTTATGGTCCCACCACTTCCACCAGCACTAAAAAGGCTTGAGTCTGTAAGCCAGATAACAGCCTGTTATCTGGGCCCTGAGAAACAGACTGAACAGTGAGAAAAATTGGAGAAGTGAGTTTTGCATATCTGGTGCTGACTGGAAACAACATGAAAGTCAGGTTGATGTGAGGCAGTGGAAAAGAATCAATATGTTTTGATTAATGAGCAAAATCAAAAAGAGTTGAGAGAGTTGTTCTCTGGATACATCAAAATTACTGACCATGCCTTTCCATCACTAAACATTTACTAAACATTTCTTTAGTAAATCCCACGTTCTCCTGTGCTTAGAGAAAGTTTTGCACTCATACAAGCTGTTAGTACATCCTGTCCTTGCCGTGTTATTTCTTGGTAAAAGTAAAAACCTAGGTGTATCATTGAACTTTTTTTATTCAAGCCTGCATGTCCTGTGTTTGATTGTAACCTGGGGCTCAGAAATATCACTGAATCCGTGTGAATCAGTCCAAAACAAGAAAAACAGGGTGTGCACAAATGTGCACCATAGTTGGCTACAGAGGGGGACACGGGATGGGAACCATGTGAGGATTGTTGGAAGACCTGCGGCTCAGCGATGGAACTGGTTACTTGATAGGGAGAAAAGCAACCTGAAACGAATTTAGTCATTATTATTTATTTATTCTGGATGAAGCAGTTAGTCGGACCTGACCTGAACACATGTGCAAACATCTATCTTTTTTTGGTTTGTTTTGTTTTGACTAAATCAATGATGCATACATTTAGCATGAGGACACAATGACATTGAGAACGATGTCATATAATAACCTGCTACCCCAACAAACCCACCGAGCATGTCAGAACGATAGGATGTTTTTCTAGTATTTCATCCTTTGTGAAATTCTCTTTCACTTGCTTTAAAAAAAATTTTTGGCTTTTATTTAATCTGAAGAAATTTTTGGAAAATACTTGTATTTAATTCTGTTTCAGTAACAAATCTAAAACTTAAATGTAACTTCCTGACTGCTTTTATCACTTCTCAGCCAACACTAAATGTACCAGCCAGCACTGCTCTGCAGCCTTTCTTTGCTCTCCTATTACAGTTTTTTACAGACGCTAGGACACATTTCTCAATACTTAGGTCACGTTTGCAAAACTCCTCACACAGTGAGCACAACAGAAGTCTATGTGGGCTAAACTGAGGACCAGTTATCATTGTTTTGGCACAAAATGCATTCAATGACTACATCTCTCAAATTTCATGAATTATCTTCTCACTCAGACACAACAACTGCCAAAAATCTTTGTACGTACAGGACATTTTGCATGTGCTTACATACTGTTTTCAAAACTGTTAAACTCATGGTCAAAACAATAACACAATGCAAAACTTGAAAAGACAGCAAAATCCAACAGCAATATTTTATTGAAACATATTTCCAATCTAAAAATGCAGTTTAACCAGCCACAGCTGATTCTCATTGTAGATGAACATCTACACAGATGTTACTCCTTCAATTTCATTACAAAAGGAGACAACTGCTGAATAGGTTTTTTTGTGATGTAAACATGGACCCAGCCAGAAATGGAGTGGAATAGCATTACTATTGTATGTGTATCAGTGGATGGTGTGTATACAAATTCTTGTATTTTGGGATTACTTAGTGCAAAAAAATAAAAATACATAAACAAATATTAACGAATTCTGCATGATGTCTGATTCATTCCAGTAACATATATTGAAATTATAAACAGAGATGTGTCCTTGTTTTACACAGGAAAACACTGTGTAATGCTACATGTTGTTAGTGTTTTTTAGGTCATTGTTTTGTGGGTGACAAAGTGTGTTTGTCGGCTGTCAAACTTTGCTAGTGTTCTGGAAGAATGAGTTTATTTGAGACCTGAATGAAGTGTTTTGGTAGTTGTAGTGCATTTTGAATGTGAAATGAACTGCTTTGCCAAGCTGACGGTCAGTTAGGAGGATTGTGTGAAGAGTTTTGCAAAAGTGACCTAAGTATTGAGAAATGTGTCCTGGCGTCTGTAAAAAACTGTAATTATCCCCCAACAGATTCTTCCTGTGAATCTTTGGAGCGTTCCTGGACCACAAAGCAGATATTAATCATTATGAACGCTGGACATTTTCTTATAATCTGTGTGTTGTTATAAGAACAGAGTGCTTCTTGCATCAGCAGGCAGAAATTTTCCAGATATATCAAACTGTGACACTTTGCTAAAGAGGGCAGGGCTGGAAAAAGCATTCGTCTCAATATAAACTGAAACATCTGGACATAATAAATACTGCTGTTTTCTTCTCTCTTTTTTTTCTTCTTTTTTCATATGTAAACCATATACCTCAAAAAGTGCCCGGCGGACTATGAAGTGTAACCAGAGAAATATATGCAAGGCCACAACTAAAAACTGAGCTGTCTGTGTACCTCAGCAGGGTGTACAGTGTGGCTGTGCTCCAGACTAACCGCTCTCACTTGTTATTTCAACTAAAACTACACTAAGTTCTGTGTCTAGCTGCTCTGTTTCGTTTTCTCTTTCTCTGGGCTTAATTTCACCTCAGGATCTATTTACGAAATTGTCTTTCTGAGACGTGGGGATTTGTCTGAGCTTTATGGTCGCATGTGTGTTACAATGTAAGAGCTGTCGCTGTATAAGTGCTGCATTGTGGGGCTTTAATATGTGAGCACGTGGGGAGATTTGTTGAGTTGTTGTTTGTGTGTGTGTGTTAAGTCCAGAATAATTGAATGCATGGATTTAACTGAGTGAAGCCACAATGAGGAGAGAGGAGCTGTTGTAGGGAGGGACAAACAGCATCGTAGCAACCAAATTCCTGTGGATCCGAGTGGAAATATTAAAATGATGACATGCTCTTTCACTCTGATGATGTGATGAGACTACACCTCTGGCAACATCTGCAGCTCTCTTCCCTTGTTAAACTACAGGGAGGGAGGGAACGTTTAGGTAATGAAAGGCGGACAGAAAAAAAAGACGGATGAGTGGATCAGATATGTGTCTTTTGAAGGGTCATACCACAGAAACATGTGTTTCTGCTTTCATACGTTTCTAGGAGGTGCTGATAGTATTCAGAGACTTTATTTAAAGTAATAAAATAGTATGTGTGTGTGGATCTGAGTTTACTTTGTGTTTTATTGTGAAGTTTAGTTCCTCATGTGGCTCCCCTTTGTTCTTTTCCCCACCCACATCTCTGCCTCATTTCAGTTCATCTTGTGCCCTTTTATCTCTCTTTGGTGTGTATGTTTCATCTGTGTTCTCTCAGTCTGCTTTGGTGATTTCTTGATAGTAGTTTGGATTTTTGCAGGTTGTTTGTTTGACCCTATATAAAAAGACCACTGCAGGACAAAGCACGCGGAGCCTGTGACATCACATAAGTGGACCTGATGAATTTAGAGAAGACTTAAAGATTGCTGGGCCCAGTGCAGCTGGTGGGCGAACCAAATTTCCTGCTGTGTATTTGAGCAGCTTAAACCAAGAATTATTTATAAATTAGTTTGGACTTAACTTGAGTTACAGTTACAGTGAGAATCAACAGAAGCAATGCCTGAAACAAAAGTAAATGACCATTGATGCTGCATCATTTCACATTTTGTGTTATCTGTACAAAATAAACAGAATCCTGTAAGAACCTGATGCCCTCTCGTCGTCTCGTCTCCTTATACGCCCACAGTGTCACAATGCAACATTAAGCAAAAGGTGCAAAGGCCAATCTTCAAGACTAAAAATAAAGCAGGTAAACTTTCCTAACTGCAGCTTCTGTCGTTCTGTGTTATAAGAAGCAAACTTTAATGTTAATCCTGCTAACCCTAGCTATTGCACAGATGTAATGCAGTTAAAAAAGTCCAGAATCTAAAAAGTATATATATTTAAGTTTATTACAAGTACCAACACTTTGAACTAATATGCAGAGTCATTTGTTATGATATTGTAAAGTATTGGAAACATGTGTGAAACCTGGACCCATTTGTTAAGGGCTAAAAACGAGGCCATGTAGGTCAGAGCT